AGTACTCTTAGGTAGTTATTATTACTGAATACTGAAAATCGAATATTTTGACCAGCATATCACTTACAAACAAAATGATAACCATCCAGTGGTTATAATCTTGAAAGTCTCTCAATTCTAAGACCCCTCATAATAATCCATCCATTCCATATTTTTCTCAATATTCTCCAGTCTTTGTCTACCTTAAGACTCGTCCTTCAAGTTATCTATCGACTAGCTTAGCAAACTTTACAAACCTCTCATCTTTAAAGAAAATACTTTAGAATTTGCGAATTTAACGTTTGATAACCTCTTCATTGTGTAATTGGTTAGAATCCCAAATAATGCCTTACAATACAACTGAACACCTTACATTATATCTGTTGTTTTTACTCTGGTTAGATTACATGAAACTATTTAAAAGTAATTTGCTAAAGTTTATTGAAGAAAAAACTAACATATTCACTAATATATCCTTAGATAATCTTAAAAAGTATTTTACAATAAAGTGTTCCTTACAATTTATTGCATCAATAACGATCTCATTTAACTTTTAATGTTTATTATATAAATGTACAGTAATATATCATACTTTCTGGTAAAAATAAATAATGCACTTGCGTGTTTATATTTTCAATGAGTTTTATCAGTTTTCAAAACATTTTTTAAAATGTTCAGCGTTCAGTAAATGACATAATTTTCTCCGAAAGGTTGTTTCACTTTGTTTTTTAATTGTTTTTGTTTTGTTTTAATTTATTGCTTCAATGTTCAATTCTATCTGACAATGTAATATCGGAAGAATAATTGTTAGAACATACAAATAAATGATGTTTTCTTCATTGTTTACTTGTAAAATAACGCTCTTTTTTATTTTACAGAAGAAACATCATTCATTATCAATAATGTAATTGGATGTTATGTTTATTGTTAATATTTGTTGCATGTTTAATTTATCCTGCTCATTATATACACTAAACAGTACACATATAAACAACAACAAGGCTAATTTCAATGATCAATGGTTTATTTAAACAAATAAACAAACACATTAAAAGAGGAAAGTAAATTATGGAAAGAATTTTCTTATATTAAAAAAAAACACAAGTGACATAAGTTCTATTTGACATTATTAATACAAGATGATATTGTAATTTTCATGCAAAGAATTAGGAAGTTGTATTCAACTGTAATGAGTAGTTGATTCTAAGATGCGCATTGTTTTTGAACACGTTAGATCATTTGTCGCAGGAACCGTCGATATGTCAAACATGATGTCAATGACTACTTATAGCCGTTAAATTTATTTATTGAACATCGGCTCAACTGTTAGGGTAATGAATATATATATACATATGTTTGGTTTTTCTTCTTGTGACAAACTGTCCTATAAAATAAACTGTTCAGAGTACGAAAAATACTACATCGAACAAAGTGGACAATTTCTTCAACGCTGTCTGCGTCAGGATCAATCAGCACTCAAACGCTATGACATTTCTTCCCCCTACAGCATTACATATGGACAACTTCGGACATACATTGGATTGGAAAAATGTTGAAATACTAGATAGAGGGAATACGAAGAATACTAGAGAATGTTCAGAAGCTTGACACTCGAATCTGTCGGCAATCAACAAACACATCGACATCGAAATTTGTGCTGATGATGTTACTGAAAGCTCTTCAATCAAAAAATCTAGTTGAGCGAATAGAACTCCACCAAAATCATCGACCTTAGTTACAAATTTTCCCCATCATCTCGAAAATTTTACATCTTGCTTGTAAAACGATGCTAAAATTTTTGCAGATACCACAAAACCGATGAAATATTTAAAACGACAATATGTATACTGTTGGGAACGTTAGATCCCCGGAACTCGCTTGATAAATGCCTTCATTTTGGATTTCATGTTTGCGAGCATGGGCTGATCAGTTGACCTTGAGATTACATTTCCCACCACGAAAATCCATGGCTGTGATTGGTTGCTGTGTATTTCAGTGTGCTGTTTTTGTGACTGTCCCAAGGACGTTTCTATGATGTATAAATAAACGAGATTTTTGTGCTTGAATGCATTCTGCTTGCTGGGTGTTGGTAGAATATACTTTCTACGCTATATCAAGACTTTTGGTTAGCCATTAGATCATAGTAGCCTACCTGGACTCTGGTTCATTGTCTCATTCGCGTTAATCGACTAAGGTGAACCCGTAATAGCTCCAAGCATACCTAGTGACAAACCTAACATTTATACAAAGCATTTTTGAAATCAAAAGTTTGTTCTTATTTCTGTTATGCTTGTGGTTATGAAAAACTGTACTCTAAAAATAGAATCTGTGAGTTGTAAGTCATTAAATCATACAACAACTTCAAAATGAAATTCTTTTTAGAATCATTAGAATAGCTGATTATCGGTAATGAAAACCATTGTAAATCAATACACTTGATAATGAATGACTGTTTCCAATTTTCCGTAGAAGCTAATTTTAGCATTCTGAACGAAATACGTCAAGTAATATTAACTAGCATTTAAATTTTAAACAGGTTTTTGAATGGTTACATTTAGGCTAACATCAATCGGGATAGATAGTAAAAAATGTAGCAGAAATAACCGATACTTTTAACAAGATGTTAAGTTACTCATAACCAATTATGCGTTATCAGTATCTACGTATAAACATAAAATCGGCATAAACATTTTCTAGAATAACTGAAAGTTGGTTAAAAAGAAACAATTTTTGCTTATAGAGATCTTTTCAGCATACATTCCACTCACACAGGCGTTACGAGTCATTTTTCACAGTGGTTTGGACATTTTTTTTTAATGACTTAAACCTGATATACAACGAACGTTAATATATTTGAAAGTTAATTAGGGTAATCCACCATATCATTGGATAAAATTAGACAGAATTTAGAGAAGACGATGTTCCTAACAACAATCTATTTATATCAAAAACCAACCTAGAGTATTCAACATACGTATCCCGTAAGCGGATCGACTGAGTTAAAAGCAAGTCACTAAATCATGTAATCTCTTCTATCTCCCTATAGATATTTATTTATCAAACAACTATAAATGTAAATGTACAGCTTCAGTAAATGATATTGTTGGAAAGAAAATGTTTTTCACTAGATTCTCCTAACTTTTGAAAGCGTTTAAACTATGCATAGACTATAAATGAGCAACCAAATATCAACCTGTTGAGGATGTTAGATCCCCAGAACTCGCTTGATAAATGCCTTATTTTGGATTTCACGTTTGCGAGCATAATCTGATCAGTTGACCTTGAGATTTCATTTCCCACCAGCAAAATCCATGGCTGTGTATTTTAGTGTGTTATTTTCGTAACTGTCCCAAGGACGTTTCTATGATGTATAAATAAACGAGAGTTGTATTGTGATTGCTTGATGTTTGCCGAATATACTTTCTACGCTCACTAGGTCTTCTGTTTTGCAATTTGGGATTCAAGATAGCCTACCTGGACGCTGTTAATTGTCTCGTTCGCGTTTATCGACTCATAATAGCTTCAAGCGTACCAAGTGACGAACATAACACAACTACAGAAAGTCATTTAGTCATACAGTGCACCAACCTAGCGATTTAGGCCAACAATTTTATCAATGATCACTCTTCATAAAACCTTTCTTTTAATAGTATAAATTCACGTCCACTGCTGACTTTCATCACAAAGAGATCCCAAAGTCTATTATCCTGAAAAATTCACTTAAGCCGTAATGCATTGTTAATTAACTGATTTTAAAAACGTGTACCATGATTCAATTAGCCAAAAACTACAAATTGATGTGTGATGATTGCATGAGAGTTCTAGTTCTTAACAAAAAGATGTGAAATGTGACTTATTGGTAAGTGGTATTCTGACTGAGAAGAATTATTAAAAAATGACAGCGTCAACTTATTTATATTAAACAGTTATGGAGGTTGTTGTTTCACATTAAAAACATGAATCTATTTTTGTTAGAGCACCATTAGAAACCTAGAAGAACCGAAATACGGCAGTTTCGTTCTAGTGGGACATCGTGACCAGTGGAGTTCAACCCAGTCAGGTGTAAAGCAGTTACCCACCGAACACAATGACTGAGGTCGCTCAATACCTTGGACTGACTGAAGTTCAACAATAATATCGCTTGATGATAGTTTAGTGGTCTAGATTTTCGGGATTCGCGCACGAGACCTGGGTTCGATTCCTACTCACTGGGGTCATAGATGTGCACTGCTGATAAATCTCAGTGCTTCAGTGATTCTAAGTTTCTAATAGTGATCTAACACTGATCGATTCATGATTTCAATAAAACTTACAACATATAACCTAAACAGTATGTTCCCATCGATAAAATAACCATGACACTTTGTAATTTTGTGGAATTCAAACAATTTTCCTCTAACTTTTATTAAAAAACAAATGACTGATAAATGATTTAACTTAATACATTCAAATATTTATCAAAAATCGCTTTAAATTATACAACTAACTAATTTATGAAAAATGAACTTTTTTTTCTTAAAACGAACTTTTATCACAAACTATTGGGATTTATTCCGATTGTTCATTTTTATTGGTTAAAAATAAAACAAACCAATCATAATTCATATTTATTACTTACCATGAATATGGGCTATCCCTAAATTCATTGAAATACGGAATTTATTTTTAAAACTAAGAAGGATATCTATGTTACCCTAGTAGAAACATGTAACTGTAATATTGTTGTTGTAGCAGCATTTTATTTTTCAAATCAAGGAATACATTTAATTTTACTCATTTTTCACTCAAGATGAACAAAATTTAACAAGTGTTCAATTATCAATGTGTTGTTATAAATTATTGTACAATAACTATTGAATATTACTCATGAATTAAACACAATAATCATAATTATGCTCAATTTAAAGACAATTTCATTCGATGCATTGCTGACAATATAAATTATATTTTAATTTTTAAAAATAAAAATGGATTTTAGTTGAGATTTTTATTTAAATAAAGTGAAAAAGGAAAAAAAAACTATGCCACAAAGAAAAGGATTATTAGCACCACAAAACACATTTCTAGATACTATTGCGACAAGATTTGATGGAACACGTAAGTTTTGATTTATGACTGATTAACTTTGTTTGGTTTATATTTGAAAGTTAAACACAATGTAATGAGGCTTATCAAGATAGTGTATTAAAGATACACATTGTGATAATTAGGGCAACACACACATGTAAGCAACAATCAGTCGTCTTGATTAGTGGTATGTTGGTATACAAAGATTACACATCTAGTGAGATGATATGTTTTTGGAGCTGATATTTATATTTTCCATCATGAAAGGGAAGTTGAAAATGTCATTCACACTTCTTCTTACAACGATTTCGTACAAAGGCTCTAAGATTCACACTAGCCATTGTGCAGCTTTATGACAAGTATAGTTGTACCTATTTTGTAGTTTGTGTTGCTTGCGTTCCGACACTCGTATATTATGGCCTGCTGTTCTAACTGTAGTGTACAAAAATAAATGTATACAACCTTTTATGTTGGCCTTCTGGTTTATAAACCGTCAGTTGATATTTACTAACGATTGTCTGGACGAGCTAATTACGAAGATGGAGAACACGTTAGGTACCAACCGTCATAAAACAATTGATACACATTGGCCAGATTAGCCGCGACGTCGAATCTAACAGCCACCACAATTTAAAACTGAACGCAGAGGCAGACTCATTAAATCAAAATTTGTGTAAATCTTACAGTCTTGGTGTATTTGATCCAGTCAGTTTATAATTGAATCATGAATCCATGACATAATTATCCCCTTTTTATTTAATTTTTATTTAAAGAATAAGCCAATTGTTTTTCCTATTTTAAGAAAGTGTTATTATTATACATTATTCGTTTAAATAATGTATTTTTCCTTGTACTAAATACTACTTAATATCATAAGCTTTGGAGCATAACAATTTTCTTTCATATAGTAAACAATTATTCCTCATTTTAAAGTAGCTGTTTAAACTCCATCATTATTGTATGCTATGTATCATCAAATGTAAAAGATGAATTTTTAAGATGGATTTTTATAGACTTGTCAAAAAAGTAGAGGTTTTTCCTTGAAGTCATCAGATATCGAGGCGTTTATTTGCGGAATAACGTAAAAAACCGAAAAAAAAACACGTATTTCTGTATTTTCTGTGCTACCATTGATTGATTCAAATAATGTGCGACATGATAGTTCAATTTGTAACAAGAGTTTCATGCTAATGTTTCAGTACTTGTGAATCTTGTCATTTAAATCGGACTTTTGAACATTAGAGAATAAAACTAGAATACCAGCATATATAATTATGGTCACAATTTGTAACTGTCACCCTCTAAAAGAGCATAATAGGCCGCCGATCAGAGAATTATTTTTCTGGTCAGCGTTTTGTTTAGCAAATAGGATTTCTACGGGATGCGGTCGCTAATCCTATGCCCTAACCTGGCTCCTTTATCTCAGTTTGGTATAGGCAGTGACCCCAGAAAGGTTTCAGGTTGCGTTAGACACCATAAGTGGCCTATAAAATACAGTTGTGCTTATCTCATCGATATTTTTTGGTTTATCGTTATGACAAAGTAAATTTTTTTCTTTTAAAAAAAGTTGAGGACAATGTTTACATGCTAAAATCAGTTATATTTTTAAAAAGATTTGAATACAGGGTTAAATGTTTAATGGATTTAAAATTTGTTCTGATGAAATGAATATGCGTTACTTTAAAATTGTAGTATAATTCTGCGATAGTGTTATTAACCATGAATATTTCAAAAAATTTTATAAGTAAGTAAGTAAAACATACAAATAAAATGTAATAAAATGTACTTAGGATCACAAAATGTATTTTGTGAAATTAATTATTTTATTGATAATTTTTGTTCGAAAATAAACTTACTGCATTTTTATCGATTCAATTTAAAACACATTTCTCTTTATTTGGTAAAAACATATTGTGTTTCATGTGGGGAAGATTCATTTAAAAACTTAAAAATCATGAATGAATCATTGTTAGACTACCATTAGAAACCTAGAGAGATGTTTCGTCCTTGTATGGGACTCATAGGTAGTGCTCTCCCACAAACCCAATGCCATGGCAATTGAACAATGATCCATTCATGATTTCAATGAAACCCAACAATTTCCACAAACCTATGATGAAAATTGTCATATACTCATTAGTGACTAGCTTCGTTAGGGGATTTTCATTGTTCTAATATGAAACGAGTTCGACCTAGTCGAGTGTGAAGCAAGTAACTACCGACGACAATCGGTGAGATTGCGAAATACCTTGGACTGATTAAAGTTACTCATTAACATCACTGGATGCCGGTTCAATGATCTAAAGGTTAGGCGTTCGTACGTGAGATTTGATTTCGATTCCCACTTGTGGGGGTCATATATCAACATTGTCGATGGGTGTCATACTGGGACGATAAGGCAGTGCAATGCTTCCAGGATCTAACGGTAGTCAAAACAAAAGATCGATTCACGATTTCAACGAGTTAAATAAGAACGGAATGAAAGGAAGTATTCTTAAGATGAAATGAAAGTTCATGTTTGTCTTATCTAGTGTATTTGCATACATTACTATCGATCCGTGTTCGTTTGTTAAGATACTCTGTAACATATTGTATGTCAAGCTCAATTGTTAGTTATCATTTTAAATAAATATGAGAAAATACTCTCACAACAGATTTGACATAATTTTTGACAGAATACATAACAGACATTTGTTTGTTGTTGAAAGTACTCGCTTAATTTAATACCATATGTTGATTAAACAACAGTGATGAAATTCTCAAGAGAGAGAGACTATGCAATATTGCAATAAATTTCTGAATCAAATGGATTTTTTTAAAAAAAAATATGTTTATAAGTTGTCTTATTTTATCTACATTCACAAATGTTTTCATTTAGTTTCTAGTTTATGCAAAACACACCTTTGCTTTGCATTGCATAAATTTACTAGTCTTTAACTATCTATCTACGCCATTTGACCGTAGGGTTTCTGCTAAAGCTCATTCAGAAATAGACATTTTGAAAGACTGTAAACACTGTAGAAACGAATGTGATTACCTTCAGCGATGATCAAACATTATGAAATCGTTCTTTTGCTTAAATACTGGATAAAATATTAATCAGTCTGTTTTTGTGAAAATTGTTCATTACAAGTGAACTTTCTTGATATTGTCGTTAAGTTATGTGCATTTAGTGAAAAATGATTGATAGCAGCTAACATCGGGTATAGATCCTGATGTAATCATCAACACTGAAAAGTTGGCAAATCTATTTGATGAATCCTATTTAGAATAGGACGTGTATACTTGATTCCCTTGTTAGCCGCTCTCACTCTTGATTGAGCTAATCAATTTTCTTAAGCATACTGAACATTAGCAAACTGGATTATCAAGTTGACGCTGTTACAAAATCATTAGCCCAATTTGTGTTTAGCAAACTATCTTTTATCTGTTCAATAACCTGATAAAAAAAATTAAGTTCCACATGAATAAGAAAAAATAATAGTCTTTTAGTCTTATTATAGATGATAGCTGGCTATATGATTCACTTACGCTTTCAAATAATTCATAATGTCTGTCATGACTGTCCAATGAAATGTTTTCAGATTAAACATATTTGTATTGCATGATAGGGTTGTGGAAACTGTTGAGTTACTTGATTGAAATAATGAATCAATCACTGTTAGACTACAATTAAAAACATGATGCACTGAAAAGCGGCTGTTTCGTCCTAGTGTGGGACACGTCAGCAGTGCGCATCCACCATTCATACATAGAAGGATCCGAACCCAGGACTTGCTGGTATGAAACAGTGTTCAAAAAAAAAACTGGATGAGGTTGCTTAAGACCATGAACTGACAGAAGTTAGACACTAATACCGTCAGATACTGGTTCAGTGGTCCAGAAGTTAGCCAAAGTCCCTTAGTTCGAATCCTGCTACTCGCAGGATTCGTGGATGCGCACTGCTGATGAGTTCCACAACGGAACGAAATGGCTGTCTTTCAATGCTTCCAGCTTCCTCATTGCAGTTTACCATCTGTATTGGATTAATTATGCAGCATTATGAACTGCACGCAAAAAGTGTACATCCATTTGAATTGAAAACATTTTTTTGGCCAGATATTAAAAATACAACATAATCAAATACAAAATGGTTAATTACTTACTGTTATTTATACAAGATCAAATCAATATGTCTGCACTGTACATCTCATTAAATGCACAATCAATGCACACACACGGACAGACACACACACAGACACAAATAAACTAAACAATGATCAACATAAACAAAACATTTTGTTCAATGTTCAATTTCTTTTCATTAAATAAGCAAAAGAAAAATAGAAAACTACAATAAAAGTATAACTAACTATAGCCATTTGCTGATTTATCGATTTATGTTTTATTTATTCGGTTATTTTGTTATATTCATGATAGACAATCAAAGTGAATTAGATTGGAAAAGAATATCAAATAGGAAAAACTGTTTTTTTTAAAAAAAAGAGAAAATTGGAATGATAATAATAATAATAAACATGAAAATAATAAAATTTTGTTACTTATTGGTTTCTATTCAAGAAAATAAATTGATATTTGTTTTTTTTTGTTGGGGCTGTTGTTATTGTTGTTGCTGTTGATTTCATTCTCTATCTCTCTCTAGCTCGCTATTGTTATGTTAATTTACTTTGGGCAATGAATGAACAATGTGTCATTTTTAACATTCGAATTCATAATTCTCAAGTTGTACAAGAGAGTAAACTAACTGTACTTGGGTGTTAGATCCCCAGAACTCGTTTGATAAATATCTTAATTTTGGATTTCGTGCATGGGCTGATCAGTTGACCTTGTTATCACATTTCCCACCAAGAAAATCCTTGGCTTTGTATGGTTACTGTGTCATTTTAGTGTGTTATTTTGTGACTCCCAAGGACGTATCTATGGGGTGTAAATAAACGCAATTTGAGTGCTTGAATTCATTGTGTGCTGGCTGGGTGTTTGTAGAATACACTTTCTACGCTATATCAAGACTTCTTGCTGGTTTAGTTTGG